AATATACTAAATATGATGCCGAACGATACCTCGGCCATGTTGCTTTGTCCCATGACTGGTACGATGTCTTTATTCCGATAGCCGCTGTCGTTGGGGTAATGCGGCAGTAAAACCAGATCTAACAAGACATTTCCTCTGCCCTCAAACTCAGCAGTTTGTACTCTGACTTTTTCAATATTGAAAATGTCAGAGTAACAAAAATGCCAAGAGGAGCAAATCTGAGAAAAAAAAGAAAGCTTACTGATCATTGCAGCGCTGATATGAGGAAGTAAATACACTTATAAGGTAGAAAATGTGCAAATGCAGGGTTCACAGTGCACTGGTTTGACGGTTGGTTGCTTGTTTGTGTGTGTGTCTGACAAGGAAAGGCTTGAGGAAGTGTAGTATTCTGCTCACGAGGACAGATCTGCCTGTTTGTATGTGTATCCGTTTCCTTCCTCTCCCTTCAACATTCCACCAGTAGCCTTACTGCTGACACAGGTTTCTCACACACACCTTCACCATAAACAAATCGTGCTACGGCCTCATCGATTCCATTAACGACCAGTTACTGGGTGAATGCAACACAGTAGAGCATGCAAAATAAGTCATCAGAGGTTAAATGTCGAGATCTGATTTCAAGAAAAAAATGATCACATGAAGGGATATGAAAACACATTGTGAGTGTACCTTACCTGCAAAACACAAACACACACACACACACACACACACACAGCAGCACAGATCCTAACAGCCAGACTGAAATATTGACGGGTCAATTGCCTGATGACTTTTGTTGATTCCAGACCTCTAATCTGTCTGAGTAAATAGCCAGCAACTCTCTGAGGGTCATCTCAGTGAAGCGGCGGTGTGCGTTTGTCTGTGTTTGATCTGAGAGAGGCTACAGGGTTAAGTGGATGCAGTGTCTAAGCTTGAACAACGTGCCTCGGAGTGACCTCTCACCTTTTCCTAAACCTTCAGCACACATGACACTCTGCGTGTCGGGCCGGTTTTGTCTGGAGCGAGACGGATCAGTTACTTGCTCTGACTGGTCATCAGTGTCTGTGTGTTTGTGTCCAGTTTTCAAATGCCTTTTAAATGCGAACATTTTTCTACGTTTAATTTTCTTTTGCTCGTTCCACTTTTATTTTCTGTCCAAATTTTCCAGGATCATGAACATGTCTCAAGTGATCGACAACTACCACTTTCCTGTCTAATCTTTTCCTCCTTTGACTGCCCCTTTGACTTATTTGTTGACCAATAACATCAATGCTCGTGTTGGTCACAAGCAGTAGTGAGCAAAGACGAACCAAAGCCAGGCATGATACAGAACTGCTTAAAATTCTTAAGCTGTAATGGAAAAATTCATTAAACTTGATATATCCAGCTTAAAACTTCTCTTTTCATATAAATGCTGAAAAGCAATCTGTAGACCTTATGGGCATTTTAAGCTTGCCTTCTATCAGATGGGATTTTAATGCTACAACAGGAAGGAGAAGGAAAAGATCAGAGGGGAAAGCAGGTGGAATCCCAATGAGCTGTTGATGCATGCTTGAGCTGCACACACTGCTTCTAAAATGCTCTGCAGGTAATACACTGACTCATTCCTAAACTATTAGAAACATTAACTCAAGAGCCTTTAGAGAGGCACTTCCTCACATCAAGAAAGTGTGCACTTCATGAGATCTTTATGAACAAAGGAGTGAGAACCAGGTGGGTGGGATGAATGAATGAATGAATGAACGAACGAAGGAAGGAAAGAAAGAAAGAATGATGGAGCGGAATTCCATGTAGCCAACCCACATTACCCGCCTCCAAAGTCACCAGCAGACAGACACTTTCTGTCTGTGGTCAAATAAGGTGAGTTCTGCTAATATCTATACAAGTAATTTTTTTTTTTAAAAGAGCAGAGAAATCCCCATCAAGAAAGCCTCTAAATAATCTGCTCTACTGTGTGTGCATTTGAGAAAAGGAGATAGAGTGTGTGTGGCCTCGGACATCTGACTTGGTTTGACTTGTACTTTGACAGACTCTCGCCACAGAAGTGTCTGTGTGGGCTCACTACTGGCAAACAACACAAGGGTGTGCATGAACAACTACGTGCATGCACTGCTAATATAATTCTCCATATCAGAGGCCTGGTCTGAGCTTCATAGAGAGAGCATTATGAGTCAACGTTTATGGGTAGCTAATGAACTTTGCTGACGAGTGTGAGAGGGCGTAAGGGCGGATTTCCTGGAGGTGGCCTGCGACAGTTGAGAATTTGCTCCTCTGACCATGCGTTTTAATCTCTGCATATCTTCGTCCTCTTCACAGTTGACTCATTTTGATCTAGAACTGATCAAGGTTACTCTTTCTGTGGTTAAAGATGTTTCCGATTCGAAACAAAAGTGCTACAGCATTTGATGACTTTATCAGCTCAGCAATGTTTCAGCAAATGCCTCAAAAGGCTAGAATCAGTTTCAATCAATGCACAAAACAAGCAGGCATCAGATAAATATTGGTCACTGCAATTTCTGAAGTAATGCTATTCCAAGTAGGCCTATTTCAGTAAGCCTGACTGCATGATAAACCTGCTGATGTCTGTCTGTTACCTTGTTTGATTAGACGTTAGAATTAAACAGCTGCAAAAAAAAAGCAAAATAACAGAATGACACAAGATTGTGTGGCAGCTGAAAAGCTACGGCATTTCTGAACATGGAAGATGTATGTTATGTACCAAAGCTACCGTCCCTGTGAAGGCTAAGTGACAACACTGTAAAAAGTGCTAAAAGCCATCTCTCCATTCCCGTGGTACTTGTTCCTATTCACCACACCCAATCAGCCACACTTGGAGGAAAGAGGGCCGATGGGTTGCAAAGGAATGGCAGAAGGACACAATAGGATGCAAAAATGACAAAGGGGAAGCAGCTCTTTAGTATTTGTATAACCACATGATATTCTCCAGAGGGTAGGACAACAATGCAGCCTCAACCCAAACACATAATCTACTATAGTTCCTATAACCTCTCAAAGGCAAAGCCTGTTTCAGACGTTTTGTTGGTTACACTCTTCCGATCCTAATCCCTATCTAATTTTCTCTGGCATGGAAGCAATGCAACAACAAGAATTAGAGCAATCTATCAAAACAAGCAATGTAAAAATAATTAAAAAACAGGCCCAACACAATGTCATCTAACATGGCTTCATCATGGGTCACATACATGACGGAGAATTTATATTTTAATTTGATCTGAGTACATTTGAATTTTCACACAAACTGCCATGAGCAAGTGTTAACGATTCCTTGTTTGATTCCTTCTTCGGTTTAACCTGAAGAGGGAGTGTCCTCTCGCATGTGAAATTCACTGGAAGTCCAAACCAGACCACTTTTAATGATAGCCACCCTGAACCTTCTCACAGCACAGAGCCGCATGCAGTGAAATACTGGCTCAAATTGTAATCCACAACAAAGCCATCGCTAGCCAAGTGTAAATGTTGGCACAAAAACAAAATGCCACAAGAGTAATAAATCTGCAATTACTAAAGGCTACTGGCATGAGAATGGCTTGAATGGAGATTCTGTTAAGCTGCTGTTGACTGCAAACAAAGATAAAATATAGTTTTGGTGGACCGTGCAGGTGGATCAAAGTGGACACTGGGTGGCCTAAAGAGCAACATAATGTTTGTGTACCTGCATAGTTTTTGGCCACCCAAGCTAAAAGTAATAGCTCCTCTCTCCTGTATTGTTATGCACTGACCCTGTCCAGGTGGGCAACAGACCCCTCCCCACTTGGGGTGACTGCCTAACAAGTTTCATGTGAGAAGCATTAAAACCGGTGCTAAACCAGTGAAACGAGCCGGAGCTGAAAGAGAGACTAATCTGGTCCAGTCACATATAGAAACAGTTGGTGGAAGTTCAGAAAAACACCCCTGGAGAGGCACAAAACATCTCGGCGAAACAGACAGAAAAGAACATCTTTATGACTAAAAAATCAATTGATTATATCTAGGAAATCAATTCAAACACGATTACACACAAACACATGCACAGATCAAATGACCATTTGTGTATAAGAGGTATCCTGTGTTACATAAGAGGTTTTCCTTATTCATCATAACATCAAACACAGGAGCATGAACAGAAGTACACACCCTTAAGCGGATGGTCACAAGATTTTAATAAAGATATGTGTGCACCTGGCATAGGGTCTCTTTAAAATAAAATGCAGCGGCATGAAACACATGGCATTCGTGCATTTCATCACAGAAATGTTGGCATTTGTGTGACTGTGTGTGCGTCAGCTACACAAAGACGGACACTGTTTGAGGACTGAGCTCCTCTTCTCTGCCAATAAGTGGCCATAAAACATCTATCTGGTTGTTGTCCCATCCGTGATCTCTTCAGCATATTACATGAAACATGATGGGAACTACTTGTTCTTTAGGGAAATTACAATTCTTTTGTCTCCTCCTATTAGACAAGGCAAGGGGCTGAACAACTACCTGATCCTGACCTTTGTCATGTCTTCAAAAGGCCCAATAAAAGGACCACAAAAAAAATCTACTTGCATCTCTCCATTCAGAGGAAGAAAGGCTGACTGAAGTGCCCATTTCAACCTTAAAGGTAACTGGATCTTTCAGTGCTGCAGCACAGTCTGCACACTTGTTGTTGGGCTGAGCACAACATCTCTTGCTCCTGTTTGCTTTGCCAGCATCGCCATGGAAAAAGCTCTCATAAAGACAAGAGGTGGACGCCACATATAACGCACCAAGTCCGTAAAGAAAACCATATGCTCTTTTAACTTAGGGCAAAACTGAGCTCAACAGGGCCGAAACTCACCATGCAAAACTACGAGGGAAGAATTTGATAGGGAAAGTGATTAATAGCTAGAAGGAATATTCACATCCAAAGTTGCAAGTGTTGCTTCATCTCCAAGCCATGCGCGATTTTTTTGATGCATCACCAAAGGATGCCATATATTCTAAACCAAGCACTGACATTCTGTTCTCTACCACTTTTAATATTTGTTGGTACTCACCGCCAAGACTGCCCAAAGTCGCTGCCAGAGAGCGTCCGGAAAGCAGGAGGCACACCTGGAGAAGAAGCAGCTTTACACCGCTGAGGATCATCCTGTTTCAGCTCCGGTTCTGCGCTCACGGGAGATCTGATTTCACAACAAAGTCCCTCACTCGAGGTTTCAGCTGCGATGCATCCTGATCCTGGTCAGTTCGCAGTTTCACCCGGGCTTAAAATTGCTCAGTGCACCGCCAGTACTGCAAAAAAGAAAATGATTCTTGAATGAAAACTGAGCGTGCCGTTTATTTCTGCTACAGGTTCATGTTCTTCCGGAGCTGCTCTCTGCTCAAAGCGCACAGAAAGTGTGTGTGCGTCCGATTTAGAGCAAACATGAAGGCTTTATTAACTAAATAAACGTGTCACACTGAAAGCTAAATTGTTTAAATTACATTTATGCCGTATTCCAAAAGCGAACTGCGCGCTCGAGTAATCCAAAAGTACCGTCAGCGTCCCGGACTGTGATCAGCCGTGCAGCGTCGCTCCTCTCCCGGTCTCAAGCTTGATGTCGCTTCGGGAGCCTGTCCCACTGCTAGAACCCAACCTCCACCGGGTTTCGTTTGTAAAGATAAAAAAAAAAAGACGCTATAAATTCAAACAAGAAAACAGCGTTTCTGGTGCGTTCAGGGATCGAGCGCGCCCCGTGTCGCCGGAGCTCGGGATCGCCGGAGCTACGGAGGCTGTGGCCGTGTTGAGAGGAGGATGTGCTGTTTGAAAGGCTCAGGCGCTGAGCAGAAGCCCTGAGCCCGGCGCCCCGCCCTCCGGCCGGGTTTCGCCGGCGCTCCAGGTAAACTGATGATGTCACAGGGCAGGTGCGCGTCCAGACGGATCTGTTCTCCCGGAGCGTGTGGTCCGCGCACCTGATGAGCATCAGACTCCTTTTGTTTAAACGAGAGGATTTGTTGATGCTTTGTTTTTGTTTTTTTTGTAAGATGGGAATGGGGTCTGAAACCGGGACACTTTGTGCAGGAATTCCAGAAACGTGGCAAATAAAGATTGGAATACGTTGGAAGCAAGGCAGAAATGAAGTTTCCCTGTCCATGCCGTTCACAGAAAAGGGGCAATATTTAAGCCAATAGAGCTTAAATCTATCACGTGTTCAGTCAGGAATTTTTTCTAAGTATTTTTTATTACAGTAATACAAAATGTGTTCATTATAGGATTTTTCTAGCATATGTTTTGAGATTTTTTACTAAGGAAATACTGTATGTTATAGTCAGAACATATTTGTTGGCATATATTTATTAACATAATATTTGTTGACAAATGTTAAAGGATGCATAAACGTAGAACTTTGCATGCAACTTTCATCCTATTCTAATATTCACTGTCTCATCCCTTTTCTCACCCCCACTCATCCAATCCCTGGATTTATTGCAGCTCCTCTCAGCTCCTCTTTCACAGCATATTATTCTGGACATTTTTCCATTGTTATTGCATGATGCACCAGTGTCCCCTTCAGTGGCCTATGCAGAAATGAAAACCCATATATATATAATAGCTGTCCACTGTAGGGACTGCTGTGCATGAATATTAGTCTACATTCTGGTCCACCTATAGCTTTCCACATAATTTTAAAGACACCAATAACTAATGCAAACATGTGAAACATTTGAAATGTCATTTCAACAGATGAACTACAAAGTACAAAGTTCAGCTCAGCCAGTGTTCTAATCTTTTTTGATTAATTGTGCTGCAGTCATAAGCTCCTTTTCCCGCTTCCTCCCTCTTTCTCTTTGGATGAGAACACCACCACTGGCTATGCTGACTGGCTGATTTCACGGGGCGGGGGAGCAGACGTGTACCCCAACGTCAGGATAAAGGGAGGGTCATAGTGGAGCCTGGATTAAAGGATTTAATAAATGAATGGGCCGAAGGAGGAGGGCAGGGGTTAGAGGTAAGGCAGCAATTTTTAAGGGAAGCCTAAAGAACTTAAGAGGCAAACGGCGCCATCTTTTATGGAGCCTGATTAATTTCAAACTGTGCGTGTCGCATCTTATGCAGTAAATTACTTTTGAATGACCAAACATGGCTTTGAATCACAATGGGTGTCTACACTGTTGGCAGCCACAGCAGTTAACTGAGCTCAGAGCTGTTTTCCACAGATCCACCCCTGACTTTTTGGGTGGCGAGTATATTTATCAATGTCACTTAGGATTTCCGAATCATGCCTGCATGGACATGAATTCAAAGTAACCATTCTGATTGTTAATAAAGTCCCCCTAGAATAAGGAATACGGACAGGTTTCTGAACTTAATGCATCATAAGAAATTATCTAGACCTCTCTCTATGGATTATACTTTGATCAGACATTTGTATTTTGAATATCTTATTTATTGAAAGCACTTCCATGCTCAGATTGATTGAAGCTTTCAAATCACTCCTGCACATTGGTTCAGATTCAAATAAACATTTACATAAAGTGTGTGTGTGTGTGTGGGGGGGGGGGGGGGGGGGGGTACAGATTGGCATAAATTAACCACAGCCACCAACCACAGAGGAGCATGCCCCTTAAAGGGATTGCCACGGCTGCTTATCTGTCCCCACACATTAATATTCCCAACCTGATTTCTGGGGACTGCAATCCGTGACCCTGCACTCCATTGGTTGATACATGTGTTAGCATGCATGGCTGTTTATGCCTAACCACTTGCATATACTGTGTGTGTCAGTATACCCTTGCTTGCTTTCATGTGTGTCACCCAAGACCAGATGCAGACAAGAGCCAAATGCTTTTTTTCTGTTAGCCTGTGACTAATGGTCAGCAGCCTCTGGCCGTAGCTGGAGGGATGGCTGTGGGGTAAGAGGGTGACAGAGATGAAAATCAGACCAGGAAAGAGATGAGGAGAGACAGACTGGAGACCAGCTCCTCCAGCTAATGTCATTTTATGATTCTGGAACACTCAGGGAGATGCTCTGTGATCAGCTTTAGGTCAGACAAACACACACGCAGCACACCAATACAAGTGTGACATTGACCCTGTCCTTGGATACTGACACAAAAGCTCTCACTTTGTTCAGAGTATCAACATCTTGAATGTGTGTGTGTGTTTGTGTGTTTAATCTGTCCAATCTGTCACTTATTTACTGTAACTGAAATGCATGTTGATGCTTGATATTAATTGTTGATGTTGATTGCACATTTAGTTGCAGCATATAGTGTCTGTCAGAGAGGGTTCAGCAAATGCAGGAGACTCCTGCCCTGAGGGGGGGGGGGTGCACATGTGTGGACACACAGAAACACAAAAGAAATTCATTCAGTTAAAAGCTTTCATTTTCTTAATTAAAACCAAGATATAGTGACCCGTGATTTTCTCCCACTCCTTCATGTCCTACATTCCCATCACACAACCAATTCTATAACGGCCTTTAACTCACAATGTGTGGCCAAATAAGATTACTGGACAGCTGTGGTGTCCACCCTTGCCCTACATCCTACATGGTATTTGTTTCACAGCTGGCTGGTTGCCGACTTATTTACCCCCCGTCCCTCACCTCTGCAGAGGAGGAAATGGAACAAACAGCCCAACATATTTTATTCTAATCCCTCAACAGTGGATTAAGCTGTTTTAACACTGAGTTAAATGTACTGTGTTGAGCACAGGTAAAAATGTGTATCAATGCTTAAATTAAAGCATTTGAGTAGATTGATTCCACTAAGCTGACTCAATAAAATTATAAATGTTTAAATGGCTATAAAATGAGCAACCTTCCCAAGTTGAAGCATAAATACATGAAACTATTTTTCACTATCAAAATGTGTGACAGAAACAGAACAAATGTGATGCATGTGAGAAAAAAAAGAAAAATACTTTTTGACAGGCTTCTCCTGCTGGTACGACTTATTTTGTTGAAACGTTGCAACACAATACCTGTCAGAGAAAACAAGCATGCCACACAACATCATCTGTGCACATTTTCAGTGTAAATAAATGTGTATCAAACAGTTGAATATTCACTCTTGTTTACTTTGTGAATGAAAAATCAGAAGCTATTAACTAGTATAATTACATACAAACACACAAAGAGAACAAACATCTTGTAGTCCTGTCAATTTTGAAGGGAGAAGCCAGTGGTTTGTCTATTTAGCTCAGATTGTTGATATTTTTTTAAAGGAGGTTAAAAGTGGCAAACACAATAATTGTCAAAGTTTCACATGCTATTGAACATTCATTACGGCATTATTGCTACCTTTTGTAATTTCTAGTGGTGTACTATTTGTGTGACAGCAAACCCAAAACAAACCCAAAGAACAGATTCATCAAGTTACGGCAACAATGGAGGAACTGGCTTCAATGCAGTTTACCATCATCACCTTTCTTCTCTCAAACAAAAGGTGTAATGTAATTAGCCAATGCTGCCTTAACCTAATTCCTTGTATAATTGTGGACAGATTCCACAGCAGATGGTGCTATCAATTATTGAGCCCGTGAAGATGAGTCTGCCCTCAGTCAGATTAAGGAGATTATTCCAACATCAACTCCCCTATGAACCAGACAGTCTCTTAGATCAACATACAGAATCAAGATGCACAGCCCCTCAACGGCACCTCCCTCGCCCTATTTTACATCTATCCAGCAGCACTTCCCCACAGGGTGTATTTGTGTGTTTTAAACTTTCATCATTTGAATTTGACCTAAATACCTATTTAGCATTTGTTGGGTTTATATGAGCGTGATCATACTACACAGTACGATGGTGGAGTTGCAGCAAACCATTTCTGCAATCCAACCCACCCAATGTATGCGTTTTTAATCCTGTTAACCCACTCCAACTGTGTGAAGAAACTGGAAGAGTGGAATAGAGCCAGGGGCATGTACGACACCATGCCCCCTCCACCCTGCTGAGATTCAATTGAAGAAACAAGTGTTTGGTACAAAGTGGAGCCCCTTGGCTCACTGGGACATTAATTCTTGACGGGTGTAAAAGTGTGTTAAAGTACAAAAGAAAAATCTGCATCTAAATAAGAGGAGCAGTATTTTACATGTATGGATGCAGAGGAACAGGAAGTAAATGTACTCCTCTGAAGCAGTAAAATCAATCACTATTTCATTA